TATAAATAATTATTTATATTTGTGTACAAGCTGTTTACATCATCAAAAAGCCTGTGTTTTTTGGGTTATTAACAAAGTTTGTGTACTCAGACCAGTAATATTTGGGGTCACAAGTTTTTGCCATGAATATTTTGTGGGTCAGAAGACAAAAAGTTTGGGAACCACTGATGTAGAGCAAAGAAGCTGTAGATAGCAACTCCTCTGATTGACAGCTGCCAGTAAAATAATCATACAATACTTATTTGTCTCTAAAGAGACTCATATGTTTCAACACCAAAACAAGTTAACACTAAATGAATATGTTGTAAAATAAAAAAAATAAGAGGACAGACTGAATTCGAAAGCGCTGAAGAAATCTTAGAACATGATCCCTGTATTGCTACTTGATTTGTTCAGGTGGGARAGAGTTTGCTGAAGGAGTGATGCATCCTCAGTCCAGCCCGATGGAGCTCAAAGCTGCAATGTGCCCAGAAAGGTACTTGATTATTTAGTTGAGCCAATAACAGTGCCTCTTAAACTTTAATGATATGGGATCTTAAAGAAGCCGAGTTTTGTCAATACGGGCAGATGGGAGAGATTTACCAAGGAAGGATGTGTTCAACCGTAATGGAAACTTCTCAAGACACAGAACAGAACTGGCGATATGCTGTGGAATCCTACATAGCTCTAACTGCCTCTTCGTCYGACAGCTACAGACAGAACGGAGAGGGAAATGGAGTTTCTGATACGGGAAGAGGTGTTGCTTAGGCTGTTAAAGGTATTATCTCACTGGGCTGCAAGAGGATTCACTTGGGAGTCCCCAAAATGTGTTGCAAAGTTCTAGATTTCTCAAGTTTTCAACACTCTTACTCAAGTCACAGTATTGTCTTGTGAATTTTGAACATTTTCAAGAGCCAAATTTCATATTCAAATACACATATATACTGTACATATACAGTATATGTATGTATACACATGCAACAATACAGAAAATCAACAATTCTGTTTGGTTTGATACTTTAGTCTCACGGTTCGATAATTTTTTTTGATAAAAAAAGAAAGATTTCCATGCCCTTCTTAATTTATAATATATTGAAATTAATTGTGAACATTCATTTAACCTCAAAAGCACAGTTTTTAAATTTAATGTTGAAACAGCAAGTTTCTCAGTGGATCTGTGCTCAACAATGCAACCTAGGTGGAGTAGTCAAACACAGATCCACTGAGCCTTCAACACAGTGTATCTTCAGAAAGATACGTATTGRACCTAGAGCACTGTATTGCACGATTCAATACAGTTACATGTATTGTTGCACCCGTAATATACAAAAAAGTCACAATTCGGTTCAGTTTGACACTCTAGTCTCCCAGGTTGATGTTTTTTGACTCAAAAAAATCCATGTTCTTCTTAATTTTTAATTTATTGAAATTAATTATGAACATTTGTTTAACCTCAAAAGTACAGTTTTTTAAATTAAATGTTGCCAAATTGCTAAAATAAATTAAAAAATCTGTATTGTTCGATACATAGTGTGTACTAGTAATTGAACCCAGAGTACTGTGTTGAACAATTCGATACAATATTGTACAGTATATATTCAGCTACACATTTTTTGTGCATTATTACATTATAATTTTTTTTTTCAAATTGACCATATCGCTTGCTGTTTACTTATTTGCAAACACCCAGAACTTGGTGACAATACCAATATAAAATGTGCATAATTTATCTGTATATTGAGTCAAGTTTGAGTCATCAACTAATCAGTCTAGTCAGGCTTATTACTGAAATGCATCGGGAAAAATAAAACAAATAAAACGTTGTGAATCAACAAAGCTGCATCAACTGAAAAGCAATTATAGATTTGCTGGTTGATCAGTAATACAATACAATGCAATAACTTTTACATTTCATTGTGTTATTGTTGTTCTCCATGCACTCGTTTTCTGCATCGAGCTGCCACAGCACAGCTGATTAATGCAGCTGAAGTAAGATCTTTGTCGTGTCTGCWGCCGGGGGTGCAAAGTGTTGTGTGACCTGTAAACCTGTCGTGGAGAAAAAAGCAGCCAGACCTGAAGCAAACTAAACCTTCCAATTCATTCCTTCACTGGAGTCCACCTCTTACTGGGTAAGATAAGGAGCTGCGATGCTCTGTGCACACAGACATCTCTGTCGTCGACTCACGGACCGCTGATCCTCTCATGTGATATCCCACAGACTTTGTGGGGAAACTATACCAGTCTGCTTTTGGCTAGTTGCAAGCAGTCAAAGGAGACTGAGCTCAAAATTTACATGTTTGTTTGAACTATTTATGTTTTCCACTAATTTGAGTTTCTCTGGTCAACACTTTTGGCATCTCCGACATTTTGCTTTCCAAAGCTGTCAGTGAAATTCAGTCAGAGTTTTGTTAAATTGGTGGGTATTGATTTGTAAATGTCACGACTGAATATTTAATTTTGTTTTGGCATTTTACAGACATTTTCCTTCTTCTATCAATTTTAGTATTTACTGTGTATTTCCAGAGTGAAGACTGTTCATGTCAATACCAACAGAACACAAGKATTTTTCGATGGTGCTTCTCTCAACTTGTGTCTGATACCTTTAGCTTATTTTTATGCTAACTTTAGCTTTTTTGCTGCTATATTAGCTAAAATTCTACTTCTTTCTGCTATTCTTCTGCTTTTTCTGCTTTGTTTTACCTTTTCTGATAATTTATGGTATTTATGCTTAGTACAGTAGCTTTCTTTTATCTTCAGCTATTTGCAAATAATTGAGCTAAATTTTAGCTTTTATTAGCCAAAGTTAGCTTTCTAAGCTAATTATACTTTTTTGAGCTTTTTCAATTTAATTCTGCTAAATTAAGCAAACTTGTGCTCCTTATGCATCCTTATGCTAATTAAAATGTTTCCAGCTACCCTTTTTTTTAGCTGTTTTACTGAAAACTTCATTCAAACAATGATAAAAATATAAATGAACACATTTTTCCTTCTGATCAAGGCTCATGGCATCATAATTGGGACAAAACACTTTAGTATACTTAAGCCAGAGCGTTTTTTTTTTGCACATGGAATTAAGAAAAAAATACTATTAAAAAGGTTTTTKTCGATATCCTAATTTCAAAATACCATGTCTTGCTGTTTCATTCATTGCCTCACCAGAATGGTGTCAAACCATGGATTATAATGATAAAAAGGTTTTTCCATATATATATATACACTCACCGGCCACTTTATTAGGTAAACCTGCCCAACTGCTCGTTAACACTTAATTTCTAATCAGCCAATCACATGGCGGCAACTCAGTGCATTTAGGCATGTAGACATGGTCAAGACAAT